TATATATATATATATATATATATATTAGTATTTACGTGAGAGTAACATATATGGTACTTATATGTTAACATATATGTTAATCCTATATAATAAGGATTAACATAAATCAAATTTAGAAATAATTTCCCGCTACTTTCATTAATTATCTCCTAAAAATAGTAAATCGAATTTTTTCTTTTTTTTATTAATAATATCAAATAATTTTGTATTGATAAACAATAAGGAATCAAAATCTGAATAAATCTCTTATTTTTCCAAACAATTTCGAATGTAAATCCAAATAAATCATGATTTTAGAAATCGTAATTTCCAAACAATTTGAAAATCCGAATAAGTCTCCAAGGAAAATCACGATTTGTATATATCATGAATTTAAAAATCTGTTCAAAATTTTATTTGCATGAATCTGAATCATAATTCATTCATTCTATTATTATATTATTATATTATTTGAAACCGCATGCTAAGTGTTGTATATATCATATTTCTAAAATCATGATTTGAATATATCATCTTTTCACCAATTAGACTTTTTTCTTCATTATCGATTTGAAAAGGAAAACGAATTCTATATACCTTACAGGTTTTGATAATACAATGTTATAATCATTATCATTATTTGTTTTAAAAGATAGTGTTTGTCATTTATTTGATTTCAAAAGATGAAAAAATTTTCATAGTTTAGGTCTCTTTTTATTTATGCATTTACACAAATTAATTGAAAAACTCTAATAACGATTGACAACAAAATTTGTTATATATTGATTCAAACTAATAACTAATTAAAAAAAGAGTCCATCAATCACGAAATTAAAAAATAACACACGATCACTACATTTCAAAGATTAAGTTTTTTTAGATAAACATTCATTTATATTGTCATGACGATAAACAAGAGTGAGTGTCAATCTTATAAATTTGATGATTTCAACTGCTATATTTCCAATGGTTTTTTTACTGTTGGAATATGCAAATTTCGTTGGAATTTTTATTCCCACCCCGTTGAAAAATCCACCGTTGGAATCGTCAAAATCTAACGGAAATTCCAACGGAAAATTCATTCAAATGGAATATTTTTGTTAGAATTTCCATTGGAATCCATTGAAAATTTCCAACGAAAATAATAGTATTGAAATATCCCTTGGAATTGTCGTTGGGATAATTTCTTTTGGAATAGATTTCCATTGAAATTTTATCAATTTATTGTAGTGTGTCCAATAATCAAACTAATAATGTTGTTTACAATTAGGTTTTTAATAACATATGATTTTTTCATACCCATACATTTTATGAGCATTTCCGCTCAAAACATTAATTACCTACTATAGATGGAAATAATATAAAATGACCTAAATAAAAAATAAATCATTAATTGAATAATTTTCATATAACTCGATTTTCGGTTTGTGTTTGTGTTAGTAAATTCTTGGTTTTCTTTAGTTACGTTAATAGTGGTTTTGTAGGCAAAGATTATGTAAATAATTATACGTAGCCGATTTTTAACAGATTTATAAGAATCATTGATTTGGATTAGCATATATGTTCCATACACACACAAAAAAAATATTATAGTAATACTTAAATTTACATGGCGTCAATTTTGGAATTCTCATTTGTGAGGATTCTTTTTTATTTGCAAAATTTCAGAATAAATTTTTCAAAATTTATTTCAAAAACCCTTGAGGCGTTACCTATTTCAAAACCATTTTCAACAATACCATAATTACAACTCCCAAACGGGTTCAATAATCATGCCAACACCCAAACCGGGTTCATCAAACATAAATCCCCAAAATTGGGTTTCTCAAATTCATAAATACTAGGAAGAACACTCCCCGTCATAATCCAATG